CACGTGCGCTTTTTTTGAAGTTATCAAACCTTCTTTATCCGATGCTAAATTGGATGCAGCTTCTGAACAAGATCCTTAATTGGAATTATCAAAACGCGAATTCCTTCCAATAATTGTCTTCTTTTTTTTCTGAAACAAGGGTAAAATTCTAAGAAACATATTCTCCGTCAAATTTCTGTTCATGCGCGGCGCACAGTGGGTGGAATTCCCCGATGTAGCCGTAGAGCCTGTTTTCATTATCAAAAACGTATAGTAAAAGTTTTCGCTCAGTTCCTTTACATTTTGTCGTATTAATTAATAGATTGTAGGTTTTTTAAAGGTTTGGTATTGACGTATAGGTGTTGTAATTTCCTTGTACTTTTTTCGTATAGAATATATGCTTTAGCAGGTATTTCCCAGATTATGAAGTTCCGTTGTGGTGGGGATAGCAAATTCTGTTGAGTCACCACTTAATAGTGATATTGCGATTTGCCCCTTAACTTCCCTTCCATATGTATTTTAGTAGAAGTATGAACGATTAGGGCCAAATACAGTAACAACGTTAAGAAAGAGATACGTCCGATGATTGGATTCAACATCATTGACAGTTTACTCTGGAGAGTTTTTAAGCTACTGACAACTGCGCAGTATTTGCGTGTCTGCCGCATGAGATCAAACGCCGTCTCGTTGTTCTATAACCACTGCCTAGTTTTGCTTAAAGGTAAATCACCTGTTAAACACATTAATATAAAAGTCCAGTGGAGCAACCCAGGCGACCAAAAAGATTTGATACAAAAATGGGTGACTCACCCATGGGTCACGCAGTCGTCAATTAGTTAAGTGGGTGTTCATCTGAAGGTAGAAAAAAAAAACATGACAACTCACCGATGTAACAATATCCAAAATCCGACCAACTCAAAAACACAACTATCAGTGCGTGAAATAAGAAACAAGCGGGAATTTTACTACAGTTTTCAATAAAAGAAATCGCAAACGCTACGTCAAAACTTCACTTGTTGCGTAGTGGTGGCGCTGCTGCCACCCTGCACAGCCTGCAAATAGCTTCGCTTCCAAAGCGTAAATGCCCCCGCAATGTGGTGCGTGTGTGGACCTAAAGAGCATGGAAAACGCCCTGGTAGACCCGTATTATCGTGGTCAGTATGAAAGTAGGTTCAGGTCAGAAGATGTACGATTTTATATTGTAAAATGGCAGCGATTTTATCTTACCGTGGCTTTGAAAGAGTGTTTATCTTATGGCCGGTTCTTGGGAGTTGCGTTTCTATTTCAAGGTTCTTTACAGAAAATAATATGCCAATATATCCAATATCCTATATCCAATTGAAATTGTTTGTTAGTCTATGTAATATTCCTCCTAGCCACGATCTTCTCTTACTCCAGTGGGTGCATACCTTTGCTCGAACCCTGCTAGAGATCGGCGCTGAGGAACACAGAAACCTGCGCGTATTGAGACACATGAAATTCGCTTTCTCCACTATTTCAAATTTTCAGAGTATTTGAAAGGTTATGCTTAGTTCCCTGATATTCACTATATACATGAATAATCCGGTCTTTATAAGGTGAATGTAATACCAGAAGAGCACCAATCTTTTTAGGAGTAGTTTTAGTTGTATATCATGTCGTTGCACTACTCATTGCAGATCTCCAATTAGAAAGAACAGTACTTTAGATTTGCAACTTTTGATTTTTCTGGAAGTATCATCGAAATACGAATCGATATTTTTTCACTGTATGAAAGGTATAAATTGGACTGTAGGGTTTTGATTGGGGAAGTACGACATTTGTTTTTTTTGCCTCAAGAGTACTCATCTAGAGCGAGCGCGATCTGTGTTTTAATACTCTTCGCCTATCTCTCGCAAGTTGAGGTTGTCAAAGGCTCTTTCCTCCTTATCCTCCCCTTCCCTTTTTCTTCCTCTAATAGCCATAACCTAATAACTTGAAATGGATCAGTAGTTCGCGAGGGCGGGACAGTTAGCGTAAAATTGTTCTCAATCTCCGTGTCGAGTAGTGTGAACTTCTTCACCTGCGTTCTCAAGAATTATTCCTGTACAACTACATGGCATGCACCGCAATCTGCCTATCCTAATTATGATTTTTGGAAATTGTAAAGATATGTGTGTTCATGTTGTTATTTGAATGTCACGATTTGGCTGTGTTTTAGGAAAAGTAGATTTTTCAAATTGTTGGTTAGTAGTTATATTTTGGTTGTCTCGTCGTTATATTTGGTGCGGACCAAGGTAATGCCATGCTTGTCAGTACAATCGACTTTAGCCTCATTTAAGCTCTCAT